AGCCAGGATATGGATAATAGATGGATGCACATCCATGTTCATCGCAGCACTATTCACAGTAGCAAGGAGACGGAAATAACCTAAGTGTCCATCAATGGAAGAACAGATAACCAAACATACACACAATGGAAGACTATGCAACACTGAAGAATAATATAGAATTTGTGAATCACTGCATTATGTGGATGAACTTGGAGGACATTATGCTGAATGAAATGTTAATCACAGAAGGACAAATATGGTGTTAGTCCGCTATCATAAAAAGTTAAGGAAAGGTTTATGTATGGAAAGAAACTTTCTTTGTTAGTTATAGGGATGGGAGGTGTGTTAGGCTGGGTTCTCTAGAAGCAAAACCAGTAAAGCTTAGAGAGAGAGAGAGAGAGAGAAAGAAAATTATCTTAGGAAAATGGCTCACACACTTATAGAAGCTGCAAAGTCCCAAGTTCCTGTATCAAACGTCATGCTGGAGGCGTTTCTGGACTCATGTAGCTGCAGGGGCTGATGAGCTCAAAGTTGGCAGGCAGTATAGGAGCTGTTGCTAAGGGAGACAAACTTGTCTATCAGTTTGTCCTACTGTGGTGATGTATTGCTGTGAGTCTTGAGGCTGTGTGTTTCAAACCGAGTGGGGTGCACCTGTTGCACAGGTGTCAGCCAGGCTTGCAGACTGAGACAGACTAGGAAGAAGGAGGAGGCCATCCACTTCTCAAAGAATTGGCCAGGGAAAACCTTATGAATAGCAGAGAAACACTGTCTGATACATTACTGCCCAATTTTATGAATAGTCCAGAAACATTGTCCAATATAGAGGAGGAAGATGAGTCACTTAGCTTAGAAAGCTCTCAAAGTAGGGATAGGTAAGAGCTGCATTATCAGAGTAAAATCAGGCTTACTCATATGGATACGGTAAATCTTTCGAGGCCTCCATTTGCTGATGTGACACCACTCAAATTGAGGAGGAACAGCAGCAAACATCCATTAATAATCGGAACATGGAATGTACGAAGTATGAATCTAGGAAATTTAGAAGTTGTCAAAAATGCAATGGAACGCATAAAGATTGAGATCCTAGGCATTAGTGAACTGAAATGGACTGGTTTTGGCCATTTTGAATCAGACAACCATACGATCTACTATGCCGGGAACAACAGTTTAAAGAGGAATCGTGTGGCATTCATCATCACAAAGGATGTTTCAAGATCTATCCTGAAGTACAATACTGTCAGTGATAGGATAATATACATACGCCTACAAGGAAGACCCGTTAATATGATTATTATTCAAATTTATGCACCAACCACCAAAGCCAAAGATGAGGAGGCAACTGAAGATTTTTATTAACTTCTGCAGTCTGAAATTGACCTAACTTGCAATCAGGATGTGTTAATTATCACTGGTGACTGGAATGCAGAAGTTGGAAACAAAGAAGAATCACTGGTAGTTGGAAAATTTGGCCTTGGTGACAGAAATAATGCTGGAACTCGCATGGTAGAATTTTGCAAGACCAACGACTTGTTCATTGCAAACACCTTTTTTCAACAACACAAACGGAGGCTGTACACGTGGACTTCACCAGATGGAACACACAGGAATCAGATTGACTACATCTGTGGCAAGAGGCAATGGAAAAGCTCAATATCTTCAGCCTAAACTAGGCCAGGAGCCGACTGTGGAAAAGACCATCAACTGCTCATAGGCAAGTTCAACTTGAAGTTAAAGACAATTAAAACAAGTCCATGAGAGCCAAAATATGATCTAGAATATATCTCTCCTGAACTGAGAGACCATCTAAAGAATAGATTTGATTAATCGAACACCAATGACTGGAAACCAGATGAATTGTGGGATGACATCAAGATTATTATCCATGAAGAAAGCAAGAGGTCACTAAAAAGACAAAAAAAGAAGAGAAGACCAAAATGGATGACAGAAGACTCTGAAACTTGCCCTTGAGTGGAGAGTAGCTAAAACAAATGGAAGAAATGACAAGATAAAAGAATTGAATCGAAGATTTCAAAGAGCAGCTTGAGAAGAAAAAGCCAATTACTATAATGAAATGTGTAAAGACCTGGAGTTAGAAAACCAAAAGGGAAGAACACACTCAGCATTTCTCAAGCTGAAAGAATTGAGGAAAAAATTTAACCCTGCAATATTGAAAGATTCTAAGGACAAAACACTGAATGATGCAGGGAACATCAAAAGAAGATGGAAGGAATACACAGAGTCACTGTACCAAAAAGAACTGGTCAATCTTCATCCATTTC